CATCAGAGGAGTGGCCAGTGGAGTTATCCCTAGGCTGTAATGTAAACACTGCATTTTCTCTGAAAAGACAGTGTTTACAGCTAAAAGCCTGAAGGGAATGATTATACTCACCAGACCAAATACAATAAGCTGTAGTTGTTCTGGTGACTATAGTGTCCCTTTAAGTACAGATTTCCTTTCACATCACCAACAAAATTGTTGTGAAAGACTTGTTTATCTTCTGAATTATCTGCTATTTTTATACGTATACACGCACTGTTTCATATATGAAGCATAAGGGATGCTACTATTGCAATTGGGGAACAGTTTTCTTACTGTAGGAAAGGCACTCTCTCACTTGCAGAGTATATTTTTGCAACATGTTAATTTCTGTATTCTGCATATACCCAACATTAAAATTTTTTTTTTTAAAAAGGTATCTCTATACACTTCCACACACAAACCCCAGTGTATATCTAAAGATTTCTGACAAAAAAAATGTGCAAAGAAAAATTTGATATTTATAAAACAGAATGCTCACAGCTGTGTTCTGCATACACAGGAACTCTGGATTATTGGGCAAAATAGCCAAGATTTAATTGAATGAGCATTCCTAATGCCCCAGATGTACAGCAGAAGGAGACAGAGGCTTAATGGAACAAAGGGCTGGCATTATGGGCCCCGTGACAAGTAATGCCCTGGTCTCTGTGAAAAGCCCAATTCCACATGAATCATATCACACCATATCAAAACGCAGGAATCTGGGCTTGTGATGATGGAGCTGTGGGGCAGGTGTGTGCCCAGTCCTGCCTTTTATCTCACTTTGCTCTCTGTCTGAGCACTTGGCTAAAGGCAAACAAATGTGTGATATTTTGAATTTTTAGTAACAAAATTCCTGGCATCAGGAGCTGCAAAAAACAATAAAAAACCTCTTTGCAGGGAACATTTCCCAAAAAACAATTCAGTTTAAAAGGGATAGTAACAGATCACGTAAAATACAAAATAAGCAAAACCAAAATTAACACATTTAAAATGAAGTTACATTGACCTACCTCCCTAACTAATAACAATTTATACATTAAATGTAATTTAGAACAATTTATCATATTGACACACACTTATTAACACAATTATTGTAGTTGAAAGCAGGGACAAACAGAGTGTTTTGGGCCCTGGGGCAAATTTAGGTCATTGACCAATTGACAGCAGTCCTGCATTAAAGAGGTATTAGAGCCTAGAGACCACCAGTATAGATATTTCGATAGCACTATAGCATTAGGGATACAAACCTGTATTCTTAACGCTATTGTGCCCCAATCCCTAGTTATATACAGCCCCAGTGCTCATTCCAGCCCTGCTTGAAAGACACTTTACTGTGAGTGACAGTGTTATTGCTGTGGAGCTCTGTTATACACTCAGACACAGCAGCTCCTAGAACAAAGGGACTGTCCCTCCTAGATAGAGACACTTGGTAGGTATGCTTGAGAGTTATTTAGTAAAGGTTAGATATAAAGCG